AGGAGTAGAGGGTATGCTTCCAGGAAGCCTGATAGAGTATAAATGTGCTCTGCAGAGACTCTCAGGGAAAATTTTGTTGTGACTTTGGTAGAGCAGAGAAAGTCATGAACATGGGCTACTGTTGATATTGTCACCAGATGTAACACCACTTGCTCTCTGCCTGCCTGCTCAGTTTTCCACTTTGTCTTGAGTGATGGGATGGCCAATCTCAAGTCAATATTCACAGTTAATCCAAATTCCCAGTGCTCTCAGTATCACAAAGTGTAGTTTCACCTGATCCTAAAACATATATTAAACTTGTATTCTTCCCTTTGTCTCTACTGTCTTAACCCAGAACCCTGTTATGCCTTGGAGTACCTTATCCCAGATCACTAACTGGTTCCCTTGCTTCTAGTTTCACCACACTCTAATCCTCCCCTCTCTAACCAAAGTATCCTTCTGAAGCATCCACTGATCGATCTCTTCCCAATCATCATCAACAGCAGTGGCCCCTGACCATTTGTAATCATTCATCTGGGGAAGGTCCCACTCAGGGGGAGCACCCTCTCATGGGCACACCTGTCCCCCAACCTCTCCTTCTCCTCCCCCCTCCCTTAGAAAAAACAACAGCCTGCACAGGAGGGACAGGGACAAGTTCTAATAAGTAACACGTTGCTTGTGCCACACTTCCCAGCTGCTCTCTTGATAAATGAGGACATCAGAATTGAGCAACACTCACCCAGATGTAGAGTCCAATGTACAATGCAGAGAACATGAGACTTTTCCCAAACTCTCCCAGACCTGCCTTTTCATTCTCATTTTTCTTCCACCCACTTCTCTGTCCATGCCAGTCCTGCAGGCCACCTTCACTTTCTTTCTTGCACATCTTGCAGGCAGGCCTTGTCCAAGGGTGTGCTTCCTTATCCTCTCTAACTTTTCAGCCTCAGCCCAGCAACAGACACTTTCTTTATTCCCTGAGCACTTTATGTGCATGTTTGTTACAGTGCTTATTGTATCATATTATATTTTCAAGTTTTGATTTTTAAAAATCATCTGCTTTAGTTATAATTTACAAACAAGGTAATGCACCCGTTTCAAGTGTGCAGTTTGATGAGTTTTGACAAATGTGTAAACTCATGTAACAACACCAAAGGCTACATATAGGATATTTCCAACATCCTATATGGTCATCCTGCCCGGTCAGCATCCCTCACAGGTTCTGTGAAACCATTATGAGTCAGCTTTGTTTTCCCTGGAGTGTCCCATTAACAGAGTGCAGAGTTTGTGCTCTTCTGCATCTTGCTTCTTCCACTCAGCATAATGTGGTTGGGATTTTCCCATGTGGGTGCACTAGTAGTCCCTCCTCTTTTCAACGAACAGAGGAGGGACTACAAATATGCAAATATGTCACAATTTGTTTGCCAGTTTTTCTTTATCCAGGATTTTTCTTATTTGGCTGTCTTAAAGAAGGCTGCTATGAAGTACAAGGTTTTTTTGTGAATATATGTTTTTATTTCTCTTGAGAAGCTATCTAAGATCAGAATTTCTAGGTAAAAGGATAGGTGTATGTTTAATTTTACAAGAAAGTTTCAGCATTTTCCCCAAAGTGATTGCAACATTTTACATTCCCACCAGCCATGTGTGACATCTTTGCTTTGGCTGCTCCACATCTTTGTCAATGATCATATTGTCAACCTTTTACATTTTGGCCATTCGAGTATATGTGCAGTGCTATTTCTTACATCTTCCTTTATCACATCTTCCTTTATCACATCTTCCTTTATCACATCTTCCTTTATCACACTCTATTTAAAATTTTTAAATCCTCACTTGTTTTACTGCTTTTTAGAGAGAGAGTATGGGAGAGAGAGAAACATCTATTCTCTACCTGCCTGGACCAGGGACCACACCTTCAACCCAGGCATGTGACCTGACTGGGAATCAAACCCACAACCCTTCAGTTATGAGTTGAGGCTTCAACCAACTGAGCCACACTGGCTAGGGCCATTACACTGTATTTTAGCTATTTGTTTAAGAGTACTTCTCCTACATCAGACAGCTGTATTCACCTTTGCTGGTTGGGTAAATATCAACATGATCTGAATATCAATACAGTCCCTGCCCTCACACTCTTAAAATCAAATTGGAACATACTGAGAAGATGCTACATTAGTACCATGTAGCATGACCAACTGTCCCAGTTTTCCTGAAACTGAAGAAGTTCTTGGGCCAAGGGACTTTCAGTTTTAAATCCAGGACTGTCCTAGGCAAACTGAAATGGATGGTCACCTAGGTGATGTGGGTAGCTGGTGGATAGCAGGTGAACATTTAGCCACAATTACAATAAAATGGACATTCTTTCCCTGTAACTGATCCTAGCTTACTTCTGAGGATGGTGGAAAAATTTGGTCTTTCCAGTTCAAGGTAACTCAGGTCCTGTCAGTCTTGCACATATTTACTCAAGGATTTAAACTAGTTCAAGATTCTCGCCTGACTCCTCCCCCTCCTCTCATCTCTGTTCACACTGAGAGCTGCCCCGTGATGCCCACTGACCTGGTTACTTGGTATTATGATGTTGATTTGTAAGTGCCCTGCTTTGTCCCTGGTCTCATGAAGCAGTGTTTTATGGGGCTGGCTCTGGAAATGTTTAGAGATCCTCTGTAGCTCATTGAGGCTACCAGTCCTCTGAGGCTTCTCTCAGACCATCTTTCAGACACTTCAACCCTTTTGTTGCCCACCCACAGACTCCATGTAGGAGGTGGGGCTTCAGTATGAGGTTTGCCTGGAAACCAATACACAGCTGCCTCCTCAGCTTAGGTCTTTCCCACTCTTACTTACTATTGCCCCCAACTCAGCCATATTCACTCAATACTTTTTGTGTTAAGTGCTGGTTAGAATGAGTACTTCCCTTGAGCAAAATGTCTCAGGTTTCTAGGCTTTTGGCTCTTAAAATTTTTTAAAGTTATTTATTTATTTGTTTGTTTGTTTGTTTATTTATTTATAGAGGGGAAGGGAAAGACAGGAGAGAAATATTGATGTATGGTTGCCTCTTGTGCCTGTAGCCAGACTGGGAATCAAACTGCTTCTGGTTTGAGGGCCCACGCTCAAGCCACTGAGCTATACCAGACAGGGCTAGCCTTTGGCTCTTGATACATAAGAAGGGTTTCCTGAATTCCACAGATAAAAGCAAAAGTGAAAACAAAATTCTTTTCTCACTCAAGGGCCAGACTTAAAGTCAAAGCTTTTAAGATGCATGTTTTGGCAGTTAACCTGGTGGTCACATCAACTTCTTATTAAGTGCTGCCATTGCTACCTCTGTAGGACAGTGCCTCCTGCTTTAGGGGGTGTGCAGTAGGCACAGGAAGCACATAAGAGACAAGTGGCCCTGAAGAGTGGTTTGAAGCCTTCTTGGAGAGATGAGACAGGAAATTGGACGTTAAAGGGAGGGTAAATTCTGGCTAAGCCCAGAAACTGATTTTAGAAAAGGGGCCTGGTGTGGACCACCCACAAAACTGGCTAAGTCTGCTGTGTAGGAATGCTAATAAGGTAGCTTGCTGGCAGGGAAGATGTGCATTCTGGGGGGGCGTACAGTGAGCAGTTCTAGATGGCTCATGAGAGATGCCATTGGGTGGCAAGTTTGGCCTCTTCTTTTATTCCCAGTGTCTTGTATTCACAGAAATCGTTTCCTTGGCAAAGCATTTCACCTTAGCATGCATCACCATTCCACACAGTAGATATGATTATCACCACTTGTGATAATCTGGGGCCCAACAAAGGTAAGTTATTTTCATCAGATCCTGGAGGAAAGTCATTCAATGATCTCACAATATTTGTTGAGCACCTCCCCCGTGTCTGGTATGAGCATCACACTTCCCTTGAGCAAAATGTCTCAGGGGAAAGATTTTCTTTCTTTTGTACTTCATAAATTTTCAAATGACATTAGGGACCTCAGCTTTTTTAGTGAAAATCTGCCAGGAGTTTGATATTCCCAATCTCTGTAGCACACTTATGCATAAAAATATTTCTCTTTTTTTAGAATTTCTTTTTTTGTTAAGATTTTATTTATTTATCTTTAGAGGGGAAGGGAAGGAGAGAGGGAGAGAAATATCAATGTATGGTTGCCTCTTGTGCATCCCCTGCTGGCAACTGGTCTGCAACCCAGGCATGTGCCCTGACTGGGAATCAAATTGTGATTTTCTGACTCACAGGTCTGTGCTCAATCCACTGGGCTACACAATCCAGGGCCATAAGAATATTTCTGATGTTACATACACAAACACAGATATAAGAGTACATATATCTAGGTGGGATAGCTTTGAAGCTGAACCTTTTTCAACATTTCATTTAAAGAATTGCTAGCCTGATAACCAACGATAATTGGCAACAATTTAAAATTCTTTTTGAAGGCCCTAAAAACACCAAAGCATGTATGTAACAGTCATCATTTCAAAATGAAACAGAGCTGTGAGCTGGGATGGAAGGGGGCCACAAAACATGGCTCCAGTCTTTGGCCACTTGGTCCAGGATACTCTGGTCCTCTTTCCTTTCAGAGAAGGAAAACTTGGTCCGGAGTATCCTGGGATAAGGCCCAGGATTCCACTCATTGGCAGCTATTTACTTATATTTTTTCATATCGAAAATAGAAGGTGACTTTAAAGAAAATTTGCCTTGACTAATTATCTGAAAAATAAGTAGAGCAGCTAGATGATTTTTTTCAAGGCTCCTTTTCAGCTGATTGGGTCAATGAATCTAAGGCTCCCCTAAAGGACTCTATCTGGTTTCCCTGAGGCTGTGTCTGTGCCTGTGTCATTTTCATGGTCAAGATGTCCAGCATGGTACCTCAAGGAACTGTTGCTGCTTCTAGTATTGGAAGAGATGTAATATCATAGGAAGGTTCGTTGAGCTCTAAGCAAAAGTAAATTTTAGAAAGGGCTCTCTGTAACCTAAGAAAATTTAATAGCAATTACTATTTAATTAACCATGTTGTGTCAGTTCTGTGAATTTGTTTTTATTCATTTTAGAGCTCAAGACACACATTTCATTTCAAGACAGATAAGACTAGAGAAAATGAGCAGAAGATAAAAAAGCATAATGTTATGCAAATTGACCTTGTGAAATAACTAAGGTATTTGGAGACCATGCCATTAATAACTCTTACAACATAATTTGTGTCATGTTTTTTACTATACTTTATTGATTATGCTATTACAGTTGTCCCATTTTTCTCCCCTTTATCCCACTCTGCCTGGTACACTGATTTTCTCCAGCATTCCTTCCTTACTTTATCTCCAGGGATTATACATATAAGTTCTTTGGGTTTTCCATTTCCTATACTATTCTTCTTTTAAAATATATTCTATTGACTAAGCTATTACAGTTGTCTCATTTTTTTCTTCCCTTTATTCCCCTCTGCCCTGTACTCCCTTCCCACCAACATTACCCCACCTTAGTTCATATCCATGGGTCATACATGTAAGTTATTTGGCTTCTTCATTTCTCATACTGTTCTTATCCTTCCCCATCTATTTTGTACTTACCATTTATGAATCTTATTCCCTGTACCTTTTCCCCCATTCTCCCCCTCCCACTCCCTGCTGATAACCCTCCATGTGATATCTATTTCTGTGAATCTGTTCCTGTTCTAGTTGTTTGCTTAGTTTTTTTTTAAGGTTTGGTTGTTGGTAGTTCTGATTATGTTCTCATTTTACTGTTCATATTTTTTGTCTTCTTTTTCTTAGATAAGTCTCTTTAACATTTCATATAATAAGGGCTTGGTGATGATGAGCTCCTTGAACTTGACCTTATCTGGGAAGCACTTTATCTGCCCTTCCATTCTAAATGAAAGCTTTGCTGGATAGAGTAATCTTGAATGTAGGTCATAGCCTTTCAAGACTTTCAAGGGTCTCTGTAACCAACTCTCCTGTGAGGCTGGGAGTTTCTCCAGTGCCTCAACCACCATAGGTTTTCAGGCTTTATTCCCCTGCACTGGGACCCTAGGTTGTATGGTCTGTATTGCTCCCCAGTTGCTCCTCCCAGTTCATCTGCATGCAAATGTGGGACTGCCTGATCCTCTAGCCACCGCCTTGCCCCATCTGCCAGTGGCCACCTTGCCTGCCCCAGTCCTCCAGCCGTTGCCTTGCCACAAGTCCTCTCAATCCTGGCTGCCCATCTCCACTGTCCTGACTGGTCTGGATGAATGTTTCTTCTTTAACTACTTGGTTGTCAGACTTCCATACAGTTCAATTTTTTAAATTTGCTGTCCTTTTTTTGTTTGTATGAGGAGGCAAAGTGTATCTACCTATGCCTCCATCTTGGCTGGAAGTATCCTCCTATACTATTCTTAACCTCTGCCTGTCTGTTTTGTGCCTACTAATTATGCTACTTATTCCCTGTACCTCTTCCCTCATTCTCTGTCCACCCCTCCCTGCTGATAACCTCCATGTGATATCCATTTTTATGATTCTGTTCCTGTTCTAGTTGTTTGCTTAGGGTGTTTTTTTAGGTTCAGTTGTTGGTAGTTGTGAGTTTGTTGTCATTTTACTGTTCATAGTTTCCATCTTTTTTTATAGAGAAATTTTTTAACACTTCATATAATAAGGACTTGGTGATAATGAACTCCTTTAACTTTAGCTTGTCTGGGGAGTGCTTCATTTACCCTTCCATTCTCAATGATAGCTTTGCTGGATAGAGCAATCTTGGATATAAGTCCTTGCTTTTCATGACTTTGAATATTTCCTTCCAGCCCCTTCTTGCCTATAGGGTTTCTTTCAGAAATCAGCTAGTAATTTATAGGAACTCTTTTCTAGGTAACTCTCTTCTCTTGCTGCTTTTAAAATTCTCTTTTTATCTTTATTTTTTGGTATTTTAATTATAATCTTTATATGTCTTGGTGTGGCCCTCTTTGAGTCCAACTTGTTTGGGACTCTCTGATCTTCTTGGACTTGTATGTATATTTCCTTCATCAGACTGGGGAAGTTTTCTTTCAATATTTTTTCAAATAAGTTTTCAATTTGTTACTCTTCCTTCTCCCCTTCTGGTGCCCTTATGATTTGGATGTTGGAATATTTAAAGTTGTCCTGGAGGTTCCTAAGCCTCTCCTTATAATTTTTTTTTGAATTCTTGTTTCCTCATTCTGTTCTGGTTGAAGGTTTATTTCTTCCTTCTGCTCCAAACCATTGATTTGAGTCCTGGTTTCCTTCCCTTCACTGTTGGTTCCCAGTTAATTTTTCATTATTTCATTTTGCATAGACTTCACTTCTTCCTTTGTTTTGTAGCTGTATTCAATCATTTCTGAGAGCATCCTGATCTCTGCATCTGATAGGTTGTCTAACTGCTCATTGCTCAGTTCTTTCTCTGGAGTTGTGACCTGTTATTTCATTTGAGTCATATTTCTTTGTCATGGTGCACCAGTTATGTTCTATGGGGCAGAGCCTTAGGTATTTGCCAAGGTGGGGCAACCTGCTTCACTGCATTGTAGTACCATACATGGGGAAGAGGTCAGCAAGGGAACAATGATGCTTTTTTGGCTCTTGCCCTGCTTTGTGCCTTCCCCCACTTCCTGAAAGCAAATGGCAGCCTTGCGAGTGCTACCCTGGTGCTGATTTCCAGGTAGTTAGGCTTGTATACATCTAGGACTCCATGGACCCCTCCATCAGACTCTCTTGTGAGACTGGTCGTTTCTTCCTCCACTGCATCCCCAAAGGTTTTTACAGCCAGAGATTTTGAGGCCTATTTCCCCGTTCCAGAACACTGGGTTTCTCAGTCTGTCTCGCTCCCCAGTTGTTCCTCCTGGGTTTTACCCACATGCAAATGTTGGAACTTCCAGTCCACCAGGCATCACCCTGCTGGTCCAGGCTGCCTGCTGCTGCCTTGTTGCCTGTTCTTTCTGTCCTGTATGCCCATCTCTGTCTTTCCTACCAGTTTGGATGGATGTTTTTTCTTTAAATCCTTAGTTGTTGGACTTCCATACAGTGGGTTTTCTGACAGTTCTGGTTGTTTTTGGTTTTTAAATTGCTTGTTATCCTTTTGGTTCTGTGCTGAGGCAAATTACACGTACCTATTCCTCCATCTTGGCTGAAGCATAGGGCTTTATCTGTTTTCTGTTTTATTGTTTGAGCTATTACAGATGTCCTAATTTTATCCCCCTTCACTCCCAACTACTTAGCCCTCCCCTCACTTCCATAGTCAATACACATACTGTTGTCCATGTCTATGGGTCCTTCACCTTCATTCAAGCAATCCTCCTCTCCTCTTACAACTGTCAGTCTATTTCATGATTCTATGCCTCTGGTTGTATTTTGTTCCTTCTTTTGTTTATTACAGTCCCCTTATAAGTGGGATCATATGGTATTTTCCTTTTGCTGACTGGTTTATTTAACTTAGCATAATAGTCTCCAGTACTATCCATTCTGTTGCAAAAGGTAGGAATTATTTCTTTTTTTCTGCTGTGTAGTATTCCATTGTGTAAATGTACACAGTTTTTTAATCTATTCATCAGCTCTTGGGTACTTAATCTGTTTCCAACTCTATTGTAAATAGTGCTGCTATGAACTCAGGTATGCATAAATTCTTTTGAGTTGGTGTTTTGGGATTCTTAACATACATTCCCAGCTGTGGAATCACTGGGTCAAAAGGTATTTCCATTTTTATTATTTTGAGGAAATTCTACACTGTTTTCCATAGTAGTTGCATTAGTCTGCGTTCTCACGGACAGTGCACTAGGGTTCCCTTTTCTCCACATCCAGCACTTGTTGTTGTTGATTTATAATGATGGCTATTCTGACAGGTGTGTGGTGATAGCTCATTGTAATTTTAATTTGCATTTCTCTGATAGCTAGTGATGTTGATCATTTTTTTCATATGTCTGTAGGCCATCTATATGTCCTCCTTGGAGAAGTATCTATTTAGGTCCTTTGCCCATTTTATGATTGTATTGTTTGCATTCTAGGTGTTGAGTTGTGTGAGTTCTTTATATATTTTGGAGATTAAACCCTTATTCAATGTATCATTGGCAAATATGTTCTCCTATATGGTTGGTTCTCTTTTCATTTTGATGATGGTTTCTTTAGCCATGCAAAAGCTTTTTAGTTTGATGTAGTCTCATTTATTTTTCCTTACGTCCCTTCCCTAGGAGATGCATTGGCAAAATATTGGCACATGAAATATTTTTATGGTATCACAACATATTTAAGTCTTTTACCTATTTTGAATTTATTGTGGTGTATGGTGGAAATTAGTGGTCTAGTTTTATTTTTGTGCATGTATCAGTCCAACTCTCCTAATGATATTTTTTTAATTAAAAAAATTTCTGTTGTTCAATTGCAGTTGTCCCCATTTTTCTCTGATTACTCTTCCCTGCCCTAACCACCTCCCACCTTCCACTTTCAATCCTACTTCCCAAAATCATTTATTGAAGAGACTGTCTTTATTGCTTTGTTAGCCATGCTCCCTTTGTCAAATTTAGTAAAAGGTGAAAGATTTGTGCAATCTGAAGAGAAACCAGAGTATCCCTTTGTCAAATTTAATTGACCATAGAGACATTTGTTTATTTCTGGGTTCTCTATTCTCTTCCTTTGATCTATGGGTCTGTTCTTATGCCAGTACCAGACTTTTTTGATTACAGTGGCTTTGTAGTATAGTTTTATATCAGGTATTATGACCCCTCCAACTTTGTTCTTCTTTCTTAAGATTGCTGAGGCTATTCAGGGTCCTTTTTGTTTTCATATAAATTTTTGGAATATTTGTTTTAGATCTGTTAAATGTGCCTTTGGTATTTTAAAAGGAATTGTGTTAAATCTATAGATTTTTTTGCATAGACATTTTAATGTCCATTTCACATGGACATTTTAATGATGTTAAATTTTCTAATCCATGAATGTGGTATATGCTTCCATTTCTTTGTATCTTTCTCAATTTCTTTTTTTTTAGTGTTGTATAGTTTTTCTGAGTACAGGTATTTTACCTCCTTGGTTAAATTTGTTCTTAGATATTTTATTTTATTTCTTTGTCTCTATAGTAAAGGCATTTTTTTTTAAGTTTCTCTTTCTGATAGTTCATTGTTGCTG